TATTAAATATTTTTCTGAACAAGTAAAAATACAGCCCAAGAGATGTGCATTGGTCCGGGTCACAGTGCCTCGTTCCACAAGGAGCAGTGCCAAGTTGGTTACCACCAGGGGCCATTCTGCTCCCTCTAGCTGCAAGGAACTCCCAGCAAGTCTATCAAGATGGTGATAAATACCACAGTGCAGTTCATCACTCAAAAGCTTTCATCTGATTGCTGAATATACACATAAAAATCTGTCTTCAAGCAGTTGATGGATCACCGCAGCTTTTTTTGGATGAAGAGGCTTCAGGATATTGGCTTCAGAAAGGAAGGAAGACAGACAAAAGGCAGGCCCACCTCTCTTACCCCTGAGAGAGCAAATATCCACGTTCCTGGTTCCTCACCAATGTCTCCACTAATACCTTTGAGGAACTGATCTGTTATTCTCTGCTATAAGGGTACAAGGATTACAAGGGTAATCGACATCCTGTCCAGGTTAATAAACAGCTGCCTGATTTATTACAGCATAGAACATAATTCATAGAAATCATCAGAACAGTGTTCTGCTACGGGAAAGGGATAAATCTTTAATCCAGCTTCAGCGGGCCAAAGCCTGGACTGGTGTCAAGATAGGGCTGATAAGGGTACCAGTGCAGGCACTGCACGTCAGGAAGACACCGGCACTGGGTCAGCCTTTGTAGAGCACTGGGGTATGCCCTCAAAGAGGGATACCTGGAGCACTAATAGCTGCTCCTTAGACCTTTGCCATAGCCATGTGTCCACTCCAGCCAATGCTCCCACCCAGTCATAGTGACATTCCCTTTCTCACGTAACCAGCGTGACATTCCCTTTCTCACGTAACAGTGACATTCCCTTTCTCACGTAACCAGCCACACTGCTGTGGGAACTTGTCTCACAGCATCCACGTGGCACAGCGCAGCCACCAGCAGCAGTGACTGAGCTCTCAGCTCCTGGAAATAGTGTATGCGCGTTAGCCTTATCCAACAGACTAATGCTGCGAAGGACTGTATCAGCCCTACAGGTACGTCAGCCAAGGCAAAGCTCTACACAGCTATTCGGGTGCTCCCTGCCCAGAGCTGCGTTACACTCCCCAGACATACCTACAGCAATCGCCCTGAGCTCAGAGGGGCTGCTGCGCCTGCCTGAGAGAAGGGGGGAATTAACCTTGGCGGGTTTTCATCCCGTTGTAGCTAGGCTGCCACCAAGACCACGCTAGCAAGTTTAAAGCTAGCTCCAGCATACAACCATAATACACATACAGGGCTGAAATCACTTACCATACTTGCCTACTATAGAAAATGACACTGAAAATAATCAGCAGATGGCACAGCCTCCCCTGGCAAACTGTATTCGGTTCTGGTTACCAGAGCTTAAAGATACAGCAGAAAGAGAAGACAGGGAGAGACAGCATGTTATCAGATACCTAGACAGTTTGGGTTGAAGAGAGACAGAGAAGCCACAGTTTTAGAAAAGGGACTATCTCTAGAGTGATGGACAACAGAGAATATAAAGCCAGGCCCCTTATTTCTTCTCATAGCTGAGAACACACGGACAGATGGGATTCAAAGAAAACAAAAGGCAATTAATTCAGGAACCATAAAAAGAAATTATGTGCTATGGAGAATAAAATTATATTGGTTCTCATTGCCAGAAAATATTGAGGCTGAGAGCTTAGTTGGATTAAATAAGGGATTAAACATTTATATGGAAGATGAAGGCTGGTTACATTAAATAGTTTTTTAAAAGTTAGGGATATAAACTCTCACGCTTTAGAAAAAGAAGAATCACAAAAGGATAGTGCATACTGTTTGTACAACACATACAGGACCGAGTAAGTCTACTGCTATTTTTAATAATAATAGTAATAATGCAAGTAATTAATTTAAATGGGCCAAGAACAAAACTCCCCCAAAGGAAAGGCTGTTAAAACTTGTTCAGTACAAACTCACACGTACTATCCTTTGAAACATCTGCTGCTGGCCAACATTAGGCACAAAATACAGTCCTAGAGCAGTTCAGTGCTGCTCATCCAACCAGGCGGTTCCAGTAAGCCTCGGTGGCAAAGCACGTGAGTTTGGTTTGGGCCACAGTCCCAGTTTAAGCAGTAAAGAGCAGTAGTGGTGCTCTGAAACAGGTTAGGACAATTGAGGAGAGTATTGGCAGACTTGCCTACAGTACCAGTAAGGTGTAAAATTAGGCAAAGGAGTTCGGATACTTCCTTCCCTCCTCCTGGCTCATGTAGGACTTACGGGATGTTACTTACAAGGATTCTCAGAGCTTTCATGGTGACAAGATCTAGGAGAAAGAAATATTTTGACCTAGAACATGGGAATTTCAGAAGACAATGCCAGGCCTGTGTCTCACTCATGTTACATGGTAACGTATTCTGACTCCTGAATGGCAACCAGTTAAGTAGGCTTAGGGAAATAACCTCATAGTTTCAATTCTTTGGGTGTTTCTATGCCTGTCGGGGTTATGGGTATAAGCTGAAAGATCAAACCAGGTTAAACTAGAGATGTGACAGCACCCAAGGCACAGAAACTCCATTTGAGCTGCCGTAGCGTGCTGGCTTGGGGGAGCCTGAAGGTAAAAGCCATATCCCTCCATGTTTCCCAGACAGGTACTGTTGCTGCCAGTGTGGAACCTGGCATTTAATCCCCCGCAAGATCAGAGGTCTGTAACATAATTGCCCTTGGTCCTCCTGTCATTTTAATTCCTGGGAGATAAGGAGCAGCCTGCAGCTTGCGCCTTAGGGACTTTCTGCCAGCAGCCGTAGGGCAGCACAGCCAGCGTGGAGCCAAGCACAGCGCTACCGAAGGATCAAGCCTGGTACTTCAAACCGGGTTATCAGCGCAAGCTGCACCGCAGACATTCAGCCCCTCGAGAAGAGGCATGAACAGATCAGATCTGTCTCGAAGGCCAGTTTGCAGGGGTTCTGACATTGCACGTTTTCAGGATTCCTACAATTCTTTTTTAAAATAAAGTTTCCATTGCAGTCCATTGCAGCATTGATAACCCAACTGTCCTATAATCCCTGGAGAGGGTTTAGTTTAGCATTCACACACAAAAACCAGCCACCTAGCCAGGTCAGCACCTTTACATTAAACTGTTTTATAGAAGACAAATTAAACCTTTAGGCAATCACTACTTATTGAATCCAAGGCAATTTCTAGGACTCTGTCACCACATGCCCTGTAATACGACATTGCTAATCCACAGGCTGTGCTCTGTCTTCTGTTCTTGCCTTGGTAATACCTAGGTACTGAACACCTCAGTGCCTTGAGTGCAGACCTTCCAGACAGCAGGCCAGTGCCTGACCCAGTCGTTGCCTACCCTACAGTGCATGAGCGAACCCAAAACATGCACATCCGGCACAAGTTCCGTGTGTCCCATTCTGTATTACTACTCCATGTTCGGGTCCTTGGTTATACATCAAAGTTTACTGCCCCTGCTCCTGAGCAGACCTGCCTTCTCTCTGGCCTGTCTACACGCAGCGAGAACACACTGTGCACCGCACAACTCAATGCACTTAGCCCTTCTGTCTATTTTTATATTTTTCTACCTACTCGAGAATAATAAATTAACTTACAAAAGTGATTAAGGCCTAAGAGGAAACTCTGTTCATTTGTTTGGATGAGAGGGAAGGAAGAAATTGAAGTATTCAACAACCCCTGCTTTCTCTCAGCCTCATTTCTGTTCCGGCCGAGAACTACACCTTGATGGCACTGCTTGCACACCCTCAAGTTAAGCCAGCTTACTCCCACTGAGAGGAATGAAAAGAGAAATAGTGCAAAGAAGAGAAGAGAGGAAGCATAGCCCAGAGGTTGCAAGAATAGGGCACACTTCGGGAAAGTGGGAAGCTGCTTTGCGGCACACTTAACTGTTTTACAACTCAAGCAAATTACTCACTCCCTGTGTTTGTTCTGTATCTATACCCCGGGAGTATTTCCATGTTTCATGGGAGAACTGTGAACACAGAGATATTAAAGACTAACATCACAAATAAAGGGCAGCTAATGACTATGGTGAATAAGGTACCAAGAGAAAGTCCCCGCAATGCTGTTAAATCGTGACTCAACACCTGAATGTTTGAGATTAACATTACATTTGGATTTAAAGAAAAATGACATGTCTGTTCAGCCATTTGAGGTCACATTTTTAAGTTCTTCGTAGTAATCATGAGGGCAAGAAAGCTATTGTTTCTTAAAAATGAAGATTTACTCTCACACCAGCAACTGATTCTAGGAGATGCTGCTTTAAGGAAGGAAAAAACCCAAACAAACACAAAAGAACCACTATATTGAGAAAGCAGCAATAAAACCATAGCATCTGGCAGCTGGAAATGTGTGATAGAGGATTACAGCAGGAGGGACAAGCATCTCTTAGCAGGGACCGACACTTTAAAGGGATCATATGGGAGCAGACCTACTATTCAGAAGAGAGAAGGTTCCCCCTAGAGACGTAACAGGGAAGGAAAAAACCCCAGCTGTTGGCCTGTTCCTCAGCTCAGGTCAATTCTTCTGATTCCTGGAACTGAAGAGAGCTGTTATGAAAAAACGTCTGAAGATTTCCACTATGCCAGAGCCTGGTGCCATCTTCCAAGCATCTCACCTCTCCTTGCAGCATTTTTCAAGTATGCAAACATACAAAACTGGGAATAGATTTACAGAGGCAGGTCTCTCTCCACTTCTACCATTTCTGTGTGCCAGGGCAAAGGAACAAGTGTGATTGCATTACAGGACTCAGATAGTCAGAGCAACATAGACTTATGATTCTTACCAGTGTACACCTGCTTTCTCTGCTCAGAGATTACGCACTAAAGTGAAACCAAAGACTTTAGAGAATCCGCCATAACTGTTTTTCTCCCAGTTCTACATTAAAGTCTTTTCCCAATGTCCAACGACAAAATAAATCTCTATCAGTCACAGGCCAGAAGCCACAGCCTTCTGCTGCTGCAGGGCAAAAGGACCCTGTGTTGAAGTTCCTAGAGCTCAGGCATTTTCATTTTAGCTTGGTCACCTTCTTGATCCAGGGTACGTATTTGCTGACCTTTGTGTACACACCGGGGGAATCCTTCCGACCACAGCCGTAGCCCCAGGAAGTGATCCCCAAAATGATCCAGCGCCCGTTTGACCTCTGACACATGAGTGGCCCTCCACTGTCACCTTGGCAGCTGTCCACTCGTTTATCTTCAGAGAGGTTCCCAGCACAAATCATGCGGTTAGTGAACTTCTGCCCGTAACGGACCTCACAGTCTTCCCGTGGGAGAAGAGGCACCACCCCCTGCAGCAGGGTTCTCGAATAGGACTTCCCTGGAACAGAACAGACCAGCCAGACCAATTCACGTACAGACAACAGCAGCGACCTAGAGCAACAGTGCTCCACACAAAAACGGACGTTTGTACGTTTAATGTCAAGACTGCGGCACAGAAATAGGCCAAGCTCAGCATCTCTGAACCACCAGAGCTTCAGAAAACAGTACTGCAAAGCCAGACCACAAAAAAGAGCTATAAGATCAAAGGGGTGGGGAAGAGGTTGGAAAAAGAGGTTAGATCAAAGGATGAGTCTTTCTCCTCGTTCTGCCAACAAGTAACTTGAACCTTGTTCAATTTATTTCACCTCTCTGAGCCTCCATTTCCTCCTCTGTAAAACAAGCACAGTGTTTTCTCAAGAGAATAAATGCAGTAATATTTGTGAAGTGCTCAATCCTCAGAGAAGTTTTGGAAGATGTTTCAGAGGCATCCAAACATTATTCAAAGGGAGTGCACTTCATCTTTGGCCAGATGTGTCTCTATTTGCTCAAATCTCTTTATTACCCCAGGCTTGCTCAGAACATAAGGTTCCCGTGCTATATTAGAGTATGAGCTTTCTGTGCCCAAGGTTTACGGTAAGTTCACAAGGTAGTTAGGTAACTGCACCTCTCATTGGGAGAGCCGGGTTCGGTGCGTGGGAGGGATTCTAGCCATTAATTCCCAGTACAGCTTAAGGGAGTTACATGGCCAAGTTGCTCCTTGATCCTCCCCAGACACCTCGAAGTGACACGTGCACCTGGCGCAACTCACTCCAAAGACAAATGTATATTTGCAGTTAAACACTTGGGGTAACAGCTGGGAAGGATGGGTAAGTCCAAAATCAACAGACAAGCTCCTGGGGCTATTTGCCTTTTGGCAGCAAGTCTTTCTGCACATATGGCTTTGCTCCAGTCACAGCAGCCCCAGAAAGGCCTCCTTGCCCCACGCCCTGCATTGCATCTCTGAGCCCCAAACGGGGGAGGACTGGAGAGCCGGTTATAAAGCTTTGTTTAGAGTTCAAAGCCATCTCCAGACCTTGCTAATGCATGCATGTCAGGACTCCACCGAGCCCAGCATTTTAAAACATCACCTTGAGAGTGTTAAGTATTTAATTATTAATACTTTCTAGAACATTCCCTGCTCCCTTTTACCTAGGAAGCTCCATAGCAATGTGCTGCAAGAGGACAGGTACAGGCTGTCTCGAACCTAGTGCAGAAACCAGCCTCAGAGCCCAACTGTCCCTGCAGCAATATCCAGGGAGATTGAGCAAGGTAGTCTGAGAGAGATTCCTTCCAGCTCTAAGCCCCCACTTCACTGCTACAGTATCATGAAGAAGGCAGGTCATGGAAACATGGGGGCCTCCCATAGGCTTTGTACACCTCCCATAGGCTCTGCACAGGCCGCTGCCTAAGGGGTCTGCTGTGGGCAAACACGCACGTGGAAGGGTGAGGAAAGAGAGGACTGTGGCCAGATGGCAGCACTGCTCTCTCCCACAGCTTCAGAAGGATGCTATGGCAACCAAAACTTCCACCATGGGCAGGCTCAAGAAGCCTCTAAATTAGAAGAAAACACAATGACACAAAAATCACCTCACCTCTCCGCTCCTTGACATCATGTGCTGGCACAGACAATATGAGCAGTAAGAACATGGCCTTGAGTTGTGCAGGCATAAATTAATGGCCCAGGTAGGCTCCTGAATCCAGTCTCCCCCACTTTTCTTGCTCCTCAAAGCCCCACTACTCACCTGTGTCTCCCCAGCCAGAGATGATGCAAGCTTGCCTGTTGATGTCGGACTTCTCTTTCCTGTCAGGCAGGCAGACAGGCAGAACGTGGTGATTGAAGGAGAGACAGTGCCCCTCTCTGCCCCGCATCCGGACCAGGGCAATGTCATTATCGTTGCTGCCGGCCCAGTAGTTCCTGTGGAGAACGATCAACTCCACGGGCAGCTCCCTCTCAAACTCATCCTTCACGCCTGTGTGGTAATCACCCACCCGCAGCAGGTAGCGCCGCACATCAACACCAAACCTGGAGAAAAAGGCACTCAAGGTCTTGATACTCCTACTAAGAGAGAAACAGACTCGCACAAGTCTCAGTTGCTGTGAGACTGAACCACCTCCTCACAAACTGATAAAACAGTGCCAGCTACAGGGCTGTGGGACCTCTTTAGCAGGTGTGACAATGCCAGCTGTTGGGGTCAACGGGTGTCCCATGCACAAGGCTTCCTTTTTTTTTTCCTATAAAAAGGGCTACAACGGTTGCAAGGCATGTGACCTCGTGTTCACAGTTCCTTAAAGCGCTGAAGAATGGCAAAATGCTGGTTCCCTTTAAGTTGCGAAGCCTCCAAGTTAAGAGGGCAGGTGTAAGCAGTGAAGGATAAAGCAAGCCTATATTGAGTCATCCCCAAAAGTGCTCCAAGATCACACACATCATAACCTGAAGGTCTTGTTTTAGAAACTTTGTTCATGTGGTTCCACTGGGCTGGGTGGATAGCCTGTGTGGGGTTATCTTGTTCATCTTTGAGTATCCCTCAGAGCTCCCCACTCACAAACGCACCTTTTGAAGCAGTGGGCTGCAGTCACTACCCAGCAGCTGCTGATCAGTGTTGCTCCGCACAGCAGACGAGTATCTTGACGAAAACCCTTCAACCGTAGTGAGGCCTGCCATGGCCAACCGCCCCTGAAGAAGAAACAGAGGAGTAATAGGCATCACACACACAGGAACTGTTTTCCTCTTCTCTGATCCACTCTGCCCCACCTGGGCTCAGCTGGCGTGCGTCCTCCCCTAGATGGGCCCACTGGTTCAAATCAAGTTCAAAAATCACCAGTGAAAATGTGTGAACGTATTCAGCATTTGCCAGGCCATTTGCCAGAGCCTGTAGGAAAGCTGGAACCAGTTCAGGCTTTCCCGGCAATTACAGGGTAGTACCTGAGAGACTTGTTTCCACCTATGATCCTTTTCTTGCGACGGTGAAGCAGGCGCATCCCACACACACCGGATTCTGGACCTGCGCAGCAAAGTTAGAGCAGTTGGGTAGATACCTTCAGCTTAAGTATCAAGAATTGCTGTCACAGAGACAAATACCATTTGCCTTCCCTGAGGGCATTAATCCTGATGGTAGTTGACTGCATTGTGTTGTGCATATGGAATTCATAGAAGATTTGATCCCATAGGTTTCCTCAGTTTTGGTGGAGGTGCTTACCTCCAGTATCTGTAGTCTTATGCCAGGAATGGGACCTCTACAGCTATTTCTTCAGTGCTCTAAACCCCAAAGTTTGCTCATGGTTACGGCTCTAAGGAAAGGTACGGTGACTTGGCTGTGGGGAAGTTCTGCAGGCTCAAAGGCCTGACATGGGTGGAGCTCCTCATTCTGGAGCACCCTGTGCTCCTAAGAAGAGACAATGAAAACAAGGAAAAAGCAGGAGGTGCAGGACAGGATATGCTTATTTTGTAGGTGAATTTTCAGCCAAAGAAGAGAAGAACTACAGGGGAAAAGCATAAAAGCATGCAGAGATACTACAGCTGGAGCCCCAGATTTCTGCATAGAAGAAATGGGCACGTCACCTGTTCTGATGTCTTGGACCTTCTCTTCCACATAGTCACAGATCACACCAGCATCCTCACTGTGCCAGCAGCTGTGAATCCCGGTGTCAGGCCTGACACACTGCCCCAGGGTGTGCTCCGTGCCACTGCATTCTACGTTGTCCAGATGGATGGGCCCGTGGCCTTCACCAAAATAAGCCATTGCCCTGGCTTTTGCTGTACCACTGCAATTAGAGAGAGGGTGACTAATCTGCAATAAGCGGGAGGCAGGTGAACCTGATGCACCAGCACATTTTAAGAGAAATAATATTTGTGTCACTCTGCACACCGACAGTAGTACAGTACTTGCTGAAGGCACCGTGAGAATAGGACCCTACTCCCTCAAGCGCATGCAGGTATGCCAAAACTAAGAAATGAAGCCCCCAGAAACAGGTCCAGAAAGAAGTGATCCCCCTGAGAGCTGTTTCTATCTATAAGATGCACGTACCACAGCTCTTACCTGAATCCCAATTGCCTGCAAACTACTGCAGCATCTCTGTCTGTCCAGCCATCATCACAGACGCTGCCCCACTGCCCATTCAGGAATACCTCAACCCGTCCCTCCTTGGTGCTTTCTCCATCCACCAGCCGCACAGGAGGCCCTGCAGCAGAAAACACATGGGTCGCTGCAAGCAAAAATGCCAGAGTGTGAGGTGGCCAGAACTTGGGTTCTATAGGAAAAGATGAATCCCAGTTCCCAGTAAGCTTAAAAAAAAAGAAAAAGAAAAAAGAAAAAAAGGGTGTTTCTATATGAAGACTACGTCCCTCATTTCACCTCTGTGCTGAATCAGAAGACTACATACATATTAATTTATTTAATACATATGGGAAATCATTAGTGGATCATATTCTGAAAGCTGAATAAAGAGGAGAACAAGAACAGAAGGAAAGTTATTAATTCCTGCGCCAAGAGTAGACAAGCTTAAACATGCCTTGGAAATAAATCCATTAAATTATAAAACTATTATATTATTCTAGGCAAGAGTTGAGTTCTACATCCAGGAAAAACAAAAAAGTTGGATGCCGTCTATTTCAATAAAAAATGTCTGACAAATTGGAAA